CCCCCCCCCCCCCTCTACCGGCCGAATATGGCTCGACCACCCTTTCGCTTCATTCTTTTCCTGGTCTCCTTTTACGCTCGCGGCCGTTGCGAAAGCACCCTTACTTTTATAAGACGTAGCGAGACGAGGCCAAGTGAAGCGCAGCGCAATCCAACGTAGCGCAACGTAGCCGTACGATTCGCGAGATTTGTATGTGTATTCGCACCTGGGCGTGGATCGGCCGCGACACTATTGCCCGTTCTCTGCCTCGTCGTCGTGTGTGGGTGTTCCAAGATACGATAATGCTCGATCATCTCTCGGGAACGCACGCAGCCTCCAGCCGCAACCGAGCACGTCCGGTTTACACGCTACTCGACCATACGAACACCTGCGACACAGGTCCGACGTGTGTGTATGTGTGTGCCTATTTCTGTATGTGCGACGGTGCGAACGAAGATCGCATAAAAACCATGTACCGAAAAATTGAGAGGGATTAAGGATCGCGTTACGAGACATTGTTTGGAACGTGCGTTTATTTACCGGGACTAAGTGGCGCTTCGTTTTAATTTTATTCGCCGCGTACTCGCACGTCCGCGCAGTAATGAATTCGACCGTATGCAAAGCCATGGAAAACAATACAGCACGACGTGTTGATGAATGATACATTTTCTGAAGAAAAAAAAAACGAATGATATATCGTGGAGATTGACAATTTTCTTCGTCCGACAAAATCAGCCGCAAGGGGAAATAATACCATTCTTCGCGTGATCGCTTTATCACATGGACCGCGTATCATTGTCGAGATAATGATGTTATTTATTCGCGAGAAATAGACGCGGGTTGGATAGCCAGTAGCCGCGACAAAATTCGCCAAAGATTCCTGCTTTTACATTCGAAAAATGATACTTGGCGCCTTGTAATTTCGCAGCGCGCGGTTGCGCAACGATCTCTCTCTCTCTCTCTCCCCCCCTCCCTCTCCTGTCGTGAGAAAACGAAGTCTTGGCCGACAAGTGAGCCGGGCGCACATTCTGCCGCGCGTTGCATATCGCGATCCGTTTCCTTCTCATCGTGTAACTCGTTCGGCAAGAAGGTGGACAAGAAGGAGAAGGAAGAGGAGGAGAAGGAGATGAAAGGTGCAATTTTGATGGCCGGCGAACGAGCGAAAACACCGGCTGGCGAGCAGGGGGAGAGGCAAATGGGTTTCGTCGTGTCCCAGGGCGACGTGACGGGATTAATGATGAAGTGCGAGAACGTGCGCGGCGGCATAGGGTATTAACGGATTCGGAATGACAGAAAACAGAGAGAGAGAGAGAGAGAGAGAGAGGGCGTGGGGGCGAAAGGGCATAATTGACGCGCGGAATGGAGAACACGCCTGCCCGACTACCCGACTGGGTGCGAATTAGATTTAATAAGTACAGTTCCTAGCCGTATTATTAGACGCATTTTGATTCTTTAATATAATACAGGTTAGGAGGAGAAGAAAAGCTACTAATTTTACGTTCACTCGATTAGAATAATTTTCGGTGTCAAACAACGCTTTTATCTCTGCGACCTACTGAGATGGTCAAATCTCTTGTTTTACCCGTAATTTTTGTAAACAATATTAATAGTTTTTGCAACAAAAATTTATTTTTCCAGATAGTAAAGCTAGGAATTGGATGTTTCAAGTCACAAATAAGCAAAAATAAAACTAAATTTCAATCGACGCACAAAACATATCTGTTCCTGTTATTATTACCAACGATACAGCTAAGCGTGGGTTCACACTCGTTCGAAGTCATTGTAACAGCCGAGTGAAGTGATGTCATAAAGAAATAATCCTAAAATTTTATAGAATAATGGTTCCTTAACATAATTCGATAGATAGACGAGCCGTATTATAAAGCTGATTCTCGGGAGCCGGTGAAATGTAAAAAAAAAAATGAAAGTACGTCTAATAATATATTAGGCCGGGGAGTGTAAATTACTCGACAAGGTAAATCGTATACGACGTTGCTGCGGGAGAGGTCGAATGGCGTTCGCTATCGCCGAGAGATTAATGGACCGCAGCGTGTCGTCGGCCGGACCGAAAGCTGCCGGCTTGAAAAGAAGCTACAATAGTTCGGAGAGGAAAGGGAAGGAGGAGCGTGAAACGGGTATCTCACAGTAGGTTGGCCGCGTTATGCAATCCTCGCTAACAGGTGTTTGCGCTTGTCACCGCGAGTCAATTGAATCGAAACGATGGCGAACTCGCGAATTGAATTACCACGGTACGCGTGCGAAATTGGCAAACGATCGTTTCGCGTTCATCGTCGCCGAGTGTACACACAATACGCGCGCCGGCTGGCCGCGAATTCGATTTAATAAGCAGATTACCCGACGGGAATAAATTCGCTAATAATCGTCATCCGGCGTAATTTCGTTTGCGCTGATCGCAGCGTGTAATAAGTAAATCAATTCGCGAGTTTGCTATCGTTTCAATAGACTCACGGTGAGTCAAGCAAACACTTGTTAGCGAGGATTGCACAACGCGGCCGACCTACTGTGAGATACCCTTCCCTTTCCTCCGAACCACTCGCCTCGATGAACCACTCGCCTCGATGAATCACTGAATTTGAGTTAAGAAATGTTCCTTAATGCAGAGGCGAAAAATCGTATTCGTCGGTGAACTCTCGTATCCGCGTTGCAAGTGGTTACGTTGAAAATAACAAATGCCGTTGCTTACGAGTCGAGAGAGTCAGGTTGGTTAATCACCGCGGTGACTATCGCGCTTTCGCGAAGGATCGAGTGTCGCGACTAGGTCCGTGTACACATGGCGGACACTCTGAAAAGCGCTCGCAAGTGTGCAAGTGGGCGGCGCGGTGTAATCCTACCGCGCGGACGCCCGTTAACGTCGCGCGCTTTTCAACGGTAAGGTCGGTTAGTTGTACAGTTAGGCGTGACGCAATTGCAACGGCAGTCGTCGTCGCGCGGCCAAGTTGGAGAGCCCAATTACCGACTACTTCCGGTATAGATGAAAGAATTGTTCGATTATCGTTCTCGCGATCCGCCATAGCGTTTTACGTGGCTGGTACAGCAAGCTCCTCGAACGCACCCAGAGAAAAAAACGCAGAAAAGCAACATTTGTTTTGGGGAAAAAATCCCCTCCAGGCACATAAATTTGCGTTTAGACGTAAGCCATTTGAAAGGAAAAAGACTCACCGGATTGAAGTCGACCAAATCTCTCGAGGTCTTCGTCCCCCTGAGCTGATCGCCGCGATACTCCCGATACCTCGTCGTTACCTCGTCATCGACGCCGCTGTTCCTCGTGTTCTTCTTGCTTTTATCTTCCTTCGACTTTTTCTCTTTCTTGCTGAAAAATTGCTTCATTTTATTCATCGTACCACTCTTCTTCGCGGTCTTCTCATATTTTTTATCCGTGCCGGAAGGCGGCTTCGCTGTTAGAGGCTGCTTGTCCGAGTCATTTGAATATTTCTCATATTTTTGATATTCCGAAGGCGTGAGATTCATCGTATAATCGGTATGTCGTTTTTCATATTTGATAAATTGCCGGCTGATCAGGCTCTCGTCTTCGGATTCAAATGGTTCGCGCTTATCGACGTCCTGGGAATCTCGGCGAAAGTCATTCTCAATTCCAGAATCAGCCAGCCGATCCTTTCGGTCGGGATCGGTGAATCGGTTCTCCCGATAACGGCGCTCGATGTGGCCTCGCATCTCCTGCCTGCCGTGTTGGGACTTGTCGTGATGATAAGCTCGAGGTGGTCGTATCGGAACTTGGAAGGTCTCCATTTGGCCCGGAGATACATCACCGCGCGAAACGTTCGAGTCGTCCAAATAATTCAATCGATTACGCGACCGTTTCTTCTTCGTGTCTTCCTCGTTCTTCCTGTCGTGTTCTTTGTGCAAGTACGCGTGGGAAATCTCATTATATCGATTTTCATATTGCGTCGAATCCCGCGTGGTGGTATCGGAGTCATATCGGCTCGAACTGTAACCGCCGCCGCGGTCGGGCCGTATTCGCGGCGGCGAGCTGTCGTAATCGTCATATTTTTTACTACTGTACCTGTGCATCGTGCGCGTCTCTTTGTGATATTTTGTTTCCAATTGATTGTTCGTAGCATGCGAGATGTCAGTGTCGTATTCATCATTCGAGCCCTCGCGCAAACAATCCAAATGACGCATCGTGTACGACGCTTTCTCTCTGCCCGGGCTGTTCAAGAACGAACGACGCCTCATGTCGCGCGCGTTCACGTATTCTCCGTGTATGCTGCTCAAGTTCTCGTGCGATCTTGTAGTATACTTGTTTCTAAACGCGCGACCCCAGGGCTCGTTGTTCTCGCCGACCTCGTCGAGCCGTTGCGTCGACTTGCTCATGCCGCGGATCGATTCGTAATTTTTCCTCGGTTTCGTATAATAATACGCCTGCCGGTCGAACGGTTGGCTCTCGCGGTCCAGAAAGTTCTCGCTCTTGGAAAATTTCCGTTCGTTCAATTTCTTCGCGATGATCGGCGACGAGAGCTCATCGTAGTCGCCGCGCTGATTGCTCTCTTCGTGTAGATATTGCGAGGACTTGTAAGAATTTCTAGGGTCCCTCGGGACGAGGAACCGGTCCTCCTGCCTGTTTCGGTCGCTGAACACCGGCTTGAGATCGTCCACGCATCCTTCGTGTCTCTGCGTTTCTATGATGTATTTATCGCCGTATTTATTCGTTTTCGTTTGTACGGTATAGCCGCTGCGCGGCTTTGAAGTCTGAAGGGAGCCGTTTGTCGGGACATTCGTTATTTTCTTCTCATATCCATAAACTTTACCATTATTATCACGTATTTTCTTCTCGAAGACAGATCTCTCGCCGTTGCTGTTGATGCGCGTCTCCGTGATGTACGTGTCCGTGTATCGCTTCGGCGACGCGACCCGGCTCGGCGTGACCGGCGACGGCACGATCGGCTTGTCGATGATCTCGTGCCCGGACTTCTTCCCCAGTACGTTCGCCGAGTTGCTCTTGGCGGCGAACATCTCATCGGCCAGCAGTCTGGATTTGATCCTGGACTCCAGCAGATCGCGCCGGGCGCTCAGCTCGGACGTCTTATTTGAAATTCCGGTTTCGCCCGGTCTCTCCCCGCTGTCCCGCCGACGAGCGTCCATGCCGTCGGCCCGACCGCGCCCGGAAGTGTCCACGGTTGAGCTGTGCTTCTCGGGCTTGTCGTACAGCTGTTTATCAATTTCCTCGAAATCGTCATGCTTCCTCGCCTCGTTGCTCGAGTCCTTCTGCTTGCCGAATAGCTCATCCTCGCGACGTTCTTCCACGTACCTCGACTTGCAGCTATTGATCTTGTTACGGCGCAAGTCACTGTTGTATGAATAGTCAGTTCTACGGTACTCTTTCTCGGCTGGACTGTTCTCGCGCGACGACTCCTTCCTGTCGAGGCCGAGGCCTTCGTCGCTGTCGGAGTAGCTTCTTTGCGATTTTTTCTTATCTTGTTGTATCTGTGCATAAATAATAGTCGTCTGCACCGGCGTCTGGCTGTTCGAGTCGTTCGGCCTGGTGTAAGAGAATGGCCGATTGCTATTGTGAGTAAATGCTGGCGACGGCGATACCATGGTCCTCGTCAGCTGCGGCGGCGGCGATCGATCGTCGGAAAGCCGATGGATCATTTTGCGAATGGTGGATTGTTCACATCGGCTGTTACGCAGCATGCTATTCTCGCCGTCCGCTTCGTCGTTTCCGCGTTTCGCGGACTCTTCCGCCGGTGGAGGAGCGCCGACCGTTTCCTGCTCTTTCCCCTCCTCTTCCTTCTCGTGATTCTCCTCGACCTCGAAAAATACTCCGTCCTCGATGAATATACGATGTTTCACCACCTCGCTTTCTTCTTCCTCGACTGACGATCTGCCAGCTAGCTCGTCAACGGTGCGAATTTTCTCAGTCGCCTCCGTTGCGACAACGTCCGATGTCACCGCGTCGACATCGGTCGGATTCACCTTCTCCTCCTGCTTTTGTTTCGATTTCTTAGTCCGTGGACGATTATTGTCCGCGACGTTGAAATGAAACGGTTGTTGTTGATCGGTCTGCGGGGACGCCTCGATAATCGGTGATAGAGGTTTCTTCGCGCAAGTGGAGCTCAGGTGGGAAGCGTCACTCTCGCTGCCGCTTCGTTTGCGCTGCAAGCGCGCTTGCATGCAGGGGCCGGCGTCACTCGCGCTACGGTTCACCGGTTTGCGCCGCTTCTCTGATTTTGGCGAAAAAAGTCGCGCGAGCGAGCCCTTCTTTAATTTCTTTGAGCTCCCATCGCTGGCGCTCCTTTGCAAAGGTTTCTTTTTAGTCACTGACGTTCCGAGATTTGCCGCTACGTCGGTCTCCTCGCCGCCGCCGAGCTTTACATCGAGCGGCAATTCCGGCCGCTTCTTATGACGCCCCGGCAGGCTGCTGTAACGGTCGGGTGCGGTGCAAATCCAACACAGTCAGTACACGTGTTTAATGTTACACTTTGTATGTAACATTAAACGTCTTTTAAACGTGTATATGTGTTGTGTAATTGTTGCGGGTGTGAGTATTTTTACATCAATACTGAAATTTCTATTTGTCTAGTCTAAAACAAAATTAACGAGGAAAACACGCATTCGCTATAAAACACACATTTCATATAGATATTTACCAGATATTTTATCCAGGAAATTTAATTAACAAAACCTGGTTAATTGATGGTATAATTGATGTATGGTAGATAGTATAAGTACATATTTCAAGTGGTACTATTAATATATGCTATTAATATAATGCATAATTGTGCAGCAAAATGGTTGCGTTTTGAAAACCTAAAAATGTTGTCCCACTTTTGTTGCTGCTACTGCTCTGTGTGTGTGTGTGTGTGTGTGTGTCAGCAAGAACCTACGGTTCGTCACTCCCGTATTTAATGACTTCAAATTCTTTCTGCTGTGTGTGAAGTCAAAAATAAATGTAATAAGATTGTTGTCGAATTGTTGAAAAAATTATTGAGTAGAGACAAAAGTTAAAACAATCTTATTACATTTGTTTTTTACTTCAAGGTATAGATTGGGAGGTGCTTCCATCTAAAGTAAATAATTACCCAAAAAACGCATTACATATATAAACTTATGAAAATTACATACCTTAATTTGCTGGGTTGTTGCGTGTTATATGTTGCCGTTATACATGGAGCACCGTGTCCTGTAACACATATAAATAAACCGGCATAAATAAACCATATAAATGAACCGGTATATGAAACTGGCGCCTAACTTTGAAGAAAATGAAAATACTTAATATAACTCGATTCTACTTTGTTTGTAAGTGAAGCGAAAAAATCGAAATACGATCGAGCTGTATCAAGTATTTTTTTTTATTTTTCCCGAACGCCAGCTTTACACCGGTACAATAACGACTCTAATGAGACAAAGAAGAAGAAGCGAAAGATTTTCAAAGAAAGCGATCGGCGACGGAAAGAGTTCTCAGATTAATTGTCGAATTGAATGCTCTTTCACGGTGAAAGTCGGATGCCACTTCAAAGCGGAAGCGTTCAATCGATTTTGCCAGTTCCGCCTGCTGTGTGCATACGTAATCGTGAAATAGAAATTCCTGAATTTTAATCACGCGACTGACGTCCTCGAGACACGTTTCATTAGCGGCTATCGACGACTTACGGCTTCGATCGCCTAATGGATCACCCCGCGACGACGTAGCAGCGCGCGAGCTGCGTTATTGGATTTGTAAATCAGCGATTTATGTTAAAGCGGTACGTACGTGGTCTCGTTAGTGGTTAATCACCGAGTTTAATCAAGCGCACCGCGATCGTGCCAGCTATCGCTTGCTTGCGCTCGAAGCTTAGGATCGGCGCGTAAGAAATTGCCGTCTTTTCCTCGTCTCGTCGTTCGGCCGTCGCTTCGGCTAAATCAGGACCGCCATTAATTCGCGGGGTCGGTCGCCCGATTCGCGATCGTTATAATGATTGTAATTAACGCTGTCATATTTATAAATGGGCCGCTTAATCAATACCTCGTTAAGAGCAGTGTCGGCTCTTTCGAGATTAGTGAGGGCTCACCCGAAATAACTAATTCCTCCCTTCCTCTTTTTTAAATTATATGAATGCAAATAGAGGAAGAAAAATAAAGAGGAGAGAGAGAGAGAGAGAGAGAGAGAAAGATAGATAGTTGCTTTTATTATTGTCGCAGGATAATTTCGTTCCGCTTATCGTAGGTTAAGGAAAACGTTGCAAGCCCGCGTCTATGATCGGCCTCCTAGAAATCAAACGGCGAGACGTTCTTCTAGCCATTCGTGATTGTCGCGTAATGTTAAGATCGCTTTAAGAATCTCGTATCGGAAAGCCGTGTATGGCTCACGGGTTTCCACACGAGATTCTTAAAGCGATCTAGCCCATGCTAAATCTATTTTATTTTCTTATTGGTGGAGATTGACGCATGCGTAGGATAGACGGTACATGCGCTTATCCTATTGCCGAGAACGGAGACTGCGCAATCAGCGAACGTACCACCCCTTTCAGGTAAGAAATCTGACTTCTTAGATATCAAGACGAACTTCTTTGCGTCCTTTAAGGGATCTTTAAGGATTTTCCATGTGTTTACTCTGAACGGATGTACCTTTTGTTTTTCTTTGTCAAAAACACTTAGCTAAGACGACGAGGCGTCTTACATATCCGTCGTTAGAAGTCGAAGACACTCCGCGACGAACGTGTCGGAACGTGTCAGAACGTGTCTTACAGAGCCGTCGTTCGAAAACGCTCCAGCGGAGGCGGCGTGTGTGTGTCACCTCTTAGTCTACAATAGTTGCTTTAAGTCTTAACGTCAAAATCCTCAAAGATCCCTTAAACTACGCAAAGAAGTTCGCGTCGGAGAAATAGAAGTTACCTCTGCACAAACCCTAAGTAGCTTCCGCGTTCGCTCGGCACCGCGGCATTACCCGGGTCCTTCGGGTCGACACTACGTCGCTATTTTCGTAAACGCGATTGATAGAGTCAAAGATATCGAAAACGCTGTGGTCTTGCCGGAGCGTAAAGGGCTCACGAAACGTTTCTGCCGCGCGATTGTCACCGTGCACTAATTCGTCGACGCACAACTGCACACTGTCACGAAACGACACGCCAGGACGCGCGCTTACGCGAAACTGCGGCGATACGCGACGATCCGCATCTACGCGTCCGGCAGTGTGCGTTTGCGCTCTCGCGACTGCGTAACTCGCTGGCTCGTGGCGGCAGAAATGAACGGCGCGGCGTGAACGCGTCGTTACAATTAAAAAGGGAAAGCGAAAAAGAATGAAGAAAGAGAAGGAGGGAGAGAACGAGAGAGAGAGAGAGAGAGGAAAAACTACGTCAACGATTAGACTTTCATCGATGTTGGGCGGACGAAAATTGATTCATTATGCATGCGTGAATTTAAATAATTACAATGAGAAGGACACCTTGTTTGCTCACCGGAGGAGGGCACCGATGAATACGTTGTCCGGATGAAAATATATTATACACACACGCGAGTGACAATCTAATGTATTCGCGTGGTGATTTTAAAAATAATTCAATACAACGAACAAAATAACAAATATAGCTTATAGTTGGAACGTAACAAAATAAAGAATAATGAAAAACAAAAATAAAACAACAAACAGCGACTATCGATAAGTATTGATTAAAATCGAGCATCTTTTAAAATTATAGTGTTTTATGGCATGTTATAATTGAAGATTAAAATATAAGCAAAGTATATTAGCTTAAATTCGACTACGCATATAATATATAAAACAAATCATACCACTAAAAAAATAACCAGAATATTGTTACATTAATTACTACTCCACACTTAACCAAATGTTTGCGGATAAATTTCCGACGAGCCGAACAGACTCCAAGTCTAACTCGCGGTTTACTTTCAATAAATGTCATTCTAGGTACTTTTTGAGATATGGGTTCATCTCCTATCTCAATAATTGGCAATTCGATTTCTTCTGCCATAATTATATAATAAAACATTCAAATAATTATAAACAATATAATAAGAATGTAAAATTAAAAATAAAATAAAATAGAAAATAAATAGAAAATAGAAAATACTAATAGGTAAAAATAGAGAATGATGTTTTAGAAAACATTCAATGTTCAATTGTTCGAAATTCGTTCGTCAGAGATTTTCGGACAATTTCCGTTTCCACGTGCCGGAGCGTGCTGTAACCAGTTCGTTGGTCCGTCAATCAAGTATCGCGCGACACATCGCAAAATTGGCCGAAAAGACCAGCGGATCACACACTCACGGTACACTCACGTCACGTGTACAAGGTAGTACGCGGTGTTGCTGGCGAGGGACGTTCCTTTACTCACGCATATACAACCATATCCGTGTGAATAGAAAGACAAATCCTTCGCCAGTACAATATTGCAGCGAACGAATCGGAAAGCAGCACACTGTCGCGAGTTGCACGATCAATGCTCTCACCTCTATTCGAAACGTTCGAATCGGACAAATCAGTCGTGCGCACCGTTGACTCGTGCGAAACAACGATCGTTGATGAACCGAGCCGAGTTTACTGAGCGGACGTCGTACGTCTGATTCAACTGCTCGCAACGTTGTCACTACCGCGTGTTCAAATGAAAGAATTATTGCGCATGTCATCACATGGATTCTCATGCAATTTTCTCTAGTAGTGGGCGCTTGCACGGCCCACATGAACCAATCGTAGCTCGAAACTGTGCTCACACGGGTAGCCGGTGGGGTAGAGTGTAGGAGAGCGACGCGTCGAAATGTGGTGGGAAATAGGGGAGGAAGTCAAAGGGAACGTGAAAGACCGACGGAGTGCCAGCGGGATACCTCCGCTTGGGAGGGATTACCGAAAGGTCGCAGGAGAGAGAGAGAGAGGGGCGTGATTCTCGCCTACTCGCTACTTCACCCACCCTTCATACCTGAGAATCTTTGTATCGTGTGTTTTCCTCTGCTCTTAACGAATACGTGTTGCTGCACGATTTATAGAAAAATCACGTTTCCGACCTTTTACCACTCTTTCGAGAATTCGCTGTCAATTCGTCGTTTCGTCTGTACAATCGCTGCTTTCGGTCGTCGCTTTTACGATAAATTTCCATAATTGCGTAATTAAATGTCACGATTAAGCCTCCCGCGAACTTTCGTCTTACAAAGTTCGTCATGTTTAATGGACACTTTGGATCGTTATGCTATTTTCAAGGAAACGTCATTCTCTCTCGTCAAGAAAGATATTGTGTGTGTGAGAGCGAGTTTTACACTACAATTTCCTCGCGACCAGCCCGATCGGTCCCTTCTGACTATCGCGCTTCAGACGTCGCGAATTGTAAATTAAAGCGACGAATTTCTCGCCGCTTCGCAAGATTCGATGAGACAAGCTCCACATAGCCCGTCATATATCAGAATTTAATATTCTGAGATATTATTATTATATCCTGTGATATTATTTTGTCGATCTTTTTCCTTTCACAATTTTTTAAATATTCTACATTCTATTTTCTTCAGACACGATTAAAGAAATTCTAGTTATGTATGATATAAGAATATAAAAATAAATATAAAACAAAATATAAGTTAAATAGCAAATATTAATAAGTGTAAATGAAACGTTATGAAAAACGTTGGTGTTCGAGAATGGAAAGAACTAAATGAGGAGAGATAAGTTACGTACCTCTTTTCGCTATAGTTCTTCAAACGCAACAACCCATCTGATTCGGCCGAAGGGTTAATTGCTATGTAATCTCAATCTCATTGGTAAGGCTGTACTCATTAAAACTTGGATGCGCGAAGATTGAAGATATTCCATCGAGGTTTCGGCTTACGAAAATGCTCCGAAACTTCGAAATGATCAAAGATTAATAGCCCTAATTTAATTGCACGCAAGTAGACGAGCGACAGGGATTACAAGTATGTCAGCAGTCGCGGATAGATCGTAACAGGAAATGGCTTCTTTCACATAAAATCGTTCGCATATAAACCGGTCTCTTCCATAAGATGGATATTGATAGTACGCGCCTATATCACGCTAATACAGCGGAATGCATGCTACGGGTCGGGAATTCGGATTAAAATGAAGCGCGGGACGACCGAGCGGGTTCCACGACGGGACGTAGAGATTTGATGGGGATCCCTACTGAAGACTAATTATTACGTGTGTGCAAGGATTATGAGAGATGTCTCGCGAAAATGCAT